CCCTTTAATTGACACAGGCAAGGAAGAAATTGTGCTAAACAGAATAGGAAAATTGAAAGCTCCTCTCCCTTTGTGTGCCCAGGGGAGCAGCAGCTCGATTTATGCTGGACAGCTCACTGAAAATGGAAATGGAGATGTCTATTGATAGTAGTTCCCAGACCCAAAACCAAATTACTGACATTTTTAGTGGCCACTGGGGCTCAGATATCAGCCCTGACTAAACAAGATGCCAGCACTTGAGGAGCTGTCACATCCAAAGGGCCCTTGGTTGCAGTGAATGTGTTGGGGGTGTCACAACCAGTAACTACCACTGCAGTTAGTCTTATGTTACTGGGAGAAGAAGCTGCCATAACTGTTACCATGGCAACAGGGGAACTTCCCTTTAAGTTTTCTGGGACTGGATATTGTGAAAGGGAGAACATGGCATGACAATCTGGGATGCCAGTGGTCCTTTGGAACCACCAACCACTGAGTTAGGCTGTTGCAGATGGCCTCAAATCTTCCCCCTTCAAAACTAACAAATGTCAAACCCTATCCACTGCTCTTAGGGGCCTGGGAGGGAATTGCCCCAGTCCTAGAGGACCTGAAAAAATGGGAAATTGTTATCCCCACTCACTCAGCTTCCAATTCCCCAGTATGGCCAGTGTGAAAACCAAATGGTAAGTGGTGATTAACTGCAGACTACTGCTGCCTCAGTGCTGTCACAGACCCCGTAACAGCAGCTGTACCAAACATCACTGAGCTCACAGCCAGCAACAGGCACACGGGTCATGACCATTGGTGATATTAAAGACAGGTTTTGTATGGTGCCATTGCAGCAAGAGGATCAACATCAGTTTGTCTTTGTGTGTGGGGGCAACCACATACCCTTACAGGGCTTCCTCAGGGGTACAAGCATTCATCCCCCTTAGCTCACCATGTGCTGGAAAAAGAATTGGAAAAGATACCAATAGAAGAGGGAGTGAAAGTTTACCAGTACACTGATGATATACTCACAGGAGGTAATCATAAAGAGGAGATTGGGACTATGAAGAATGACATCATTACTCACCATGAAGGTTTAGGGTTTAGCTGCTCACTTGTGAATCATCTCTAGAGTTAATGCTGAGATTCTAAAAATTTCTAATTGTATTGTTTGTAGAGTTTCTTATCAGGGGTCTCATCTGAGAAATCCGACTTGTTTCAATTTTTGTGTGTGTAAGTTCTGATATTGCAACTTTTCTGACTGGGTAACACAGAAGTAAAATTATTCTGCTGATGTCAATGTTTGAGTTTAAATATTTTCTGTGTAAGGTGTGTGGTACTCCCTCAAAAAGTGATGTGTCTGTGATTGACTCTTCTGGCAGCCCTGTTTGCTACAGGACCTGTAAAGTGAGGGCAAAAGGGGAAGAAAGGCAGGCAAGGTGTATCTGAGATGTTTTTTTTAATGCATCAGTAGGAATTATTTTATATATTAGTCTAGCCTAAATACACTACAGTTTATTTAAATAATGTGGTATGCAAATTAATTATGCATATTTCAGTGAGTAGCTCTACCACAAAGATGGTTTTGAAATGGTGGGGAGAAATTAGAAACTTTTTTTTGGGGGGAAATGAATTACAAATGACTGTAAGTGGGATGGGCTGTCATCATGCAGTCTCTTTCTGTCAGATCAGTGCCCTAGTCAGTCTCTAGTTCTGGGGAACACCAAATTAAAAATTTACATGAAACATGTCTGAAAAATGCATTTTCTCACAGATATTATAAATTATGACAACAGGCTTGTATCTGGTAGTGCCAGAGGTGATGCTTTTGGCTGCACAGTTAATAACTTCTGTCTTTGATGGAAAAATGATAAAGTTCACTTATTTTGTAATCACTATTTCACATTTTTCTGACAGTATGCTGGAGTCAGCCTAATGCAGCTTTTTGTACAACTTCATCTGGAAAGTAAATTGCACATTCACATCCTCTTCCACAGTCATGCTGGTATTTTTAATGCACAGCTAAAGATCAGGTATTCACAGAAGAGCTCCCAGCAGAAACCAGGCCCTGGAAAAAATCTGTGCCAGCTCCTGTGGTGTGGACAATCACTGAGAGGACACTCCCTGGCTGCTCACACTAAACATAAATGGTGTCTGTAATGGAAGAGCCAACTTTTCACCAGAGCTGAGTGACTATGGGCTGTGTGGCAGGCAGGGAATGAGTCATCCTCTAATGGAGAGCTGTGAAATCTGGGTTGGTGGACCATGCCCACACCATACGCTTTTTTCCTTGTATTCTGAATTCTTTCCACTTGCAGTCCTGTGTCACCTTCCCTAGGCTGGGCTCCTGTGGTCCTGTGCCACCCACCTCAGGCTGGGCTGTGGTTCAGCAGGGACTCTCCAAAGTCAGGGTTGTATTTGAAGTAAGTTCAGTGATTTTTTTGACAATTCAGCTGGCAAATTCTCTACCAGAGCCTTAAATCCCTTTCAGGAGTCTCTGTCTTGTCACTCTTATTTGATGGGAGGGAGGTGACACAAATGTTGTGTCCGGGATGTGCTTGAGGTCACATATTTAAAGGTGTATCTGATTTCTAGCTGCTGACAGTGCCAGGGCTTTTCTCTGCTCATCTGATAACAAAATGGTTCTATCACCTGTACAATACTGGAGCTGCTCACAAATGCACTTTCAGGATGTGGAGAACAAAGTTCATGTTCTTTGCTATCGTGTTCTTTGCTACCTTTTTTCAGTACCATACACCCTCCTTTATTTGTCACTAAATGCTTCCCAAAAACTCTCAACTCTCTGAGACCCATATGTAACCACATGCTACTTGTTTATTTGGTTGTTTGGTTTTTTTTAAGAATAGAACATTCTTTTAAATCAATAAAATAAATATCTACTACAATACAAAAAATCTCCACGGCTGTTTTTGGAATACAAGGGAATTAAATATGCTTCTTGTAAATAGCTCCTTCTCTTGTAGAGCCAAATTATAAATAAATAAATAAGAAAAGCATAAATACACGTCAAGATACAGCAATTATTAAAAAGAAATATTAATCATCTCCACCTCCATCCTCATACTGCTCAAAGCTATTAATTAACAAATTAAATACTACTACTACAATGCAACTTCCTCAACAAGCAAAACTCTTGCTGTGCTGGACTGTTAGTACTTTATGGGCCATGTTAACTATAAGGGCAGGTACCACAAGTGTTCTCCCTCTTAACTACACCTAATTCAGTAAATTGACTTTTCCCAGTGTCTGTCCATCACCCTTATTTTTCCTTTGTTTAGGAAATGAGACCAAAAATGGGAAGCAGTGATTGATATTCTCCCTACTCTTGGAATGTATGCTCTGCTGTGCGAGGGAGCAGTCCCACTGAATTTATGAGGTTTACCTATATGTGTAAAAATACACCCACGGGTTTCTGGCAGGAGTTCTGTGGGCTGAGGAGGGGGATGAAGTGTGTGGTTAGTGATATTTATAAAAAGCGTTTCAGGAGACTCCTGACCATGGCTCCAGCTTGGTTCAGTCACAGAGGACCTGATGTTGGCAGGATGAGGGTGCCCAGATTATTGCACAGGATCAGTGTGCCAGGCTCTAATTTAAAGGTGGGCTGGGAACCCTGTAAGGAACCTGTTCAGGTGTGCAGCCTTCAGTGGGTGTCAGCGTTGCTCTCTCATGCCAGAGCAGAGAACACAGGGTTGATAGTGGGTCACCACTGCCAGCACGAGGTTCACAAGGAACTATGCTCTCCTTCTTTCCCAGGAGCAAGAAATAAAAGCAGAGCAGATCATCCCTGTCTTGGGCAGCTGGGCCAGAGAAAGACTTTGACCCTCGGTAATGAGGAGGGAGAGTCTGTGTGGTTTTGAGGTGCAAAGTTTTCCTCTGACCAGTTGAGCACCTCTGAAGGAGGAGCCTGTGCGTGAAGCAGTGATGGACAGCTGAACAGGAGGGCTGACAGGGGTATTTCATGAAGGTACAGCGCCTCTCCTTGGCAGACTCTGGACTGACTTGACTCTAGCAGCATGAAAGGCCACAGTACCTTTTTAAGTTAGAACTTCCATCCCCATCCTACTACCATTTCCACCATGTCCAGCCCTAAACAGGTTTTCCCTGTCGCCCTCCTTGCAGCCATCAGGACCATAAGGTCTGTCAGGCTACTGGCTGCAGGCAAGCAAGTTTCAGATGAGAGCTCCTTCCCTCTGCTGCTGTCACAAAGTAATAAAGTAACCTTTATTTTTAATTTATGCTTGGGTGCACTGGCGGTTAGATAAGAGGCCATCATTACTATAAACAACAGGAGATACGCCTCCTCCAACTTTAAATATGAAGTTCTATATTTAGGGAAACCAGTGTTTTTTATGATAACTAGGAGAGCACTCACAGAAGGCAAGTACTGCTCATGACTAATATAATATTGTCTATAACAGTGGTGAAAACTTTTGTTGTAAAACTGTTTTGTCCTTTTTTGAGAGAAAAACTGAAGAGGACCTGACCAGCAATTTCTAAATTCGGAAAAAAAAAAAAAAAAAAAAAAGAGAGAAAAAATGTTTTAAAGCAAATTCCTTTAAATCCATCTTTTCATAAGCACAGTACTCTTACATGCAAATATCTTATATTTTGTTACCTACTTGCATTATTTACATACTTTCCTTCCTCCTAGTATTTTGTGCACTCAGCATAATATCCTTTACCACATGGGTAGAGGGCAAATTGCTGACTACCATTTCACTCATAAGCAGGTTCTACAGCAGACAGTATCCCTTGAGGTTACCCTGTTGCTCAAAGTTTGATCTGGCAGGACACCTTAAAACACAAATCACTTGTCACATTGCAAAGTTTTGTATGTATGTTTGCAAACTTGCTCAGTCCCACTGTTTTAGAATTTTTGCATCCTTTACTACTCCTGCCTTGAAACATCAAAATTGAAGGAAAAGAGATGTTTAGGATGAGTCATTCAGCCAAGCATATCCCAAGATGAGGTTTTTTATCTCATGATATGGGAGGGGAAAGATGACAAGCAGTGGTGCACAACAAGTAGATCCCTGGGATTTAATGGCACTCTGTAATCAATCTTTGCCTTGCAGGAATACACAAACCTCTTCGTAGGCTTCTCTTGTTGCAAGTCCAAGCTCATTTAGACAGGACACAGAAAATGGTGAATGGGTCAGCAGTAGTCTCAGCATTGAGTCAAGATGTACAACTAGTGGGATAGTTGGGATTTTAATGTAATGCAACAAGGAAAGGCCATTGAGTAACATCATATTCACCATTTTTACCTTTGTTAGCCTTTCTCTCTCTGTTCTGAGGCAATGGCATCAAGTAATAGAAAGGATATAATTTTCCTGGATGAGCTGTGCTGTGTCTGTTCCCTCATTGATCCTAAAGCACCTTGTCCTGCTAAAGGACCTTCTGCCTTTCCAAGGGACGCTGAGCCTTATCAGTCCGCCTCAAAGGCACTGTTTGTTGCCCCCAGGTACTCTGACTTCTTCTTGTGCTTCATCCACATCTTCCTCAGGAGGCTGGGTGTCCCACACAGGTTGCCTCCTGTCAGTGGTAGGGAAGCTTCTGCTCCTGGTGGCAAGGCCAGGTCATACTCTGCTGTCTTCCTCCAGCGCTGCCTGTGGCTAACAAACAAAACACAAGGTGTGTACAGAGTGCTGCTCCCTGGCCCTTCCTCCCTGCTGATGGCATCAGCCACTGAGAACCAAGAGCTACCTGGCTGAAAAGGTGTGCCTGTGCCTGGGCCACCCCTGGGATTGGCAAGTGTGGAATGAGCAGGGGCTCTGTGGGTCAGGGGGCTGGGATGCTGCCCTGCCACCACTCAGCTTGGTGCCCTTGTTCCCTCACTGTCGGGGGGACACTCACACAAGGGGACATTCTGAGTGCATCCTCTCTAGCAATTGCCACCCAACAAGGAGTGAGGGATTGCCCAAGGAGGGAGCTGGGCCCTTCCACCAAAACCCCAGGGACCGTGTGGCAGTGCTGAGCTCCAGTGGCTGAGGGGAGCTTACATCTCTGTGTGTGGAGTGTGAGGACACTATGACAATGAGCTAGCTACTGTCCCTCAGGTGACAATGGTGGCATCTCAAATCCTACCATGTCTGGTGATGACTGCATTTGTACTATGGTCAAGCTGTTCCTTAACTGGACTTTAAGACTTAAATTTTTTTCTTCAATTAATTACATTTTCTAATTATATTTTAGGGCAAGTATTACAGACTTCTTAGGGGGAAAAAACTTTTATTTTGAATTACGATGATTTTTTTTTCTAGTGATAAAGTAGAGCTGTAATGGCCACTGAGATAGCTGTATAAATGGCCATGGCTGATAATAAAATCAGCATAACTTTTACCAATCTCTTCCTGCCTTTGAGGCACGTCTGGAGGGTGGGAAGGGACTTACTCTTCCATAGAAGTGCGGTCACGTGTGGGCGAGCCTGTGACAGCCACAGCTTTCACTGTGATATGGGCAACTGGAGACGGAGGAATCTGTGGGAGGACAAAGCACATCATTAGGAAATGCCACTGATGAGTGGGGACACCGGTTCATCTGAGGAAAGAGGCTGTTTTAAGAAACCCAATAAATGCTGTAAATCTCTTAACAAGAGAAAGCAGGTTAAGGATTTGACTGCCCAACTCTCACCCACACAATTATCAGTTGCTCACGTGAATATTCTCACTGAGCTCAGCACAGGACTTGTATGAGAGAGAGTTACACCTCCTATCAAAGAAGGAATACTTGCAGAACTGTTTATTCCCTAGTTTTTATGTTTATCTTCCTGAGGCTGGGAGGTTTTGTGCAGAGCTGCCTGGGAAGCAGATGTCTCAGCCATCACAGCTCCTTGAGCACACAGAGATGTTGCCCTGGTTTGTTGGGTGCTGCTCTGTGATGTGAGGGCACCCACTTGGTTATGCTCCAGTTCTGCCATGGCCCCACAAGTGCCCAATCATCCACTTCCTTCTTATCTTATTTGATCATAAATTGCTCTCCAGAACTGACTCATGTTTTCCCATAAACAGATCTCTGAGAATAGCATATCCTCCAAGATGGTAAGTTAAAGTGTGAGTTGCCCAGAAATAGAAAAAAAAAGTCAAAAATTGTGAGGTGATCTCATTATTTCAGGCAATAAGCACACTTATTGGTTTTACTGGCAATTCTGAAAAAAAATGTTCATATTACTGTCATTACCACAACTGGTCTTAAGATTTCTAGGGATATTTTTATATTTTTCCTAGGATTAATCTCAGACTGGGTACATTTAGGTGTGTTTTTCAAGTATCCTAAGACTTAGAGATGTTTGAAATCACTTTTGTAAGCATCCTTTGAAATTTAACTGTGTTAATTATTGGTAAGTTCAATTAGATTCATTACACTGAATAGCATTAGTTTTAACCATCCTTAAGTATTCCACTGTCACTTTTCTTAAGTGTAGCCCAGCTACCAGCTAGCAAGCTTGCTTCAGCCACCCAAAAGAGCCCCTGAAACCACAAAATGACAGCATGGTCTGGTGTTGGCCAGAAACTATTCAAAATAGTTTTTTCTCTTTGAAAAGGTTAGTTTTTATTAAATGTAGGGACTTTGAAAATTAGAGGGACATTGTAAGACAAAGAAGAGAGGCAAAACATTTTAGTAAAGGTGAGTATTTTTAACCAAAATATTTTTTTCTTTCTACAAGAGAGCACATTTTGGGGGATCATATGATAATTTTCCCATCAACTCTTTGTTTATGTTTCTGACTTTGGGGATTATCGTGTCAGTTTGGCATTCTGGAGAAAACAAATTATTTGATGCTTGTTCCACTTGAGAAATTATTTTTTCCCCAATTTGTGAAATTTCATGAGAGACAAGAGGTTAATTTCTCCCAGTTCTAGCAGGTGGCTGAGCATCCAGAACAGGAGCCTGCCTATTTCTGTCCCTCCACTCTTCTTGGCTCCTGAGGGGTAGCTCTCTGTCCTATGCCAGTCTCTGCTCCCAGCTAAGGGATCTTCTGGTATAAATTATGTTTCAAGCTTTATCAAAGACTGTGAAATCTGCAGGTGGTGTGACAGACTGACATGCTGTTACTGTGGGACATGCTGACGGGTGCAAGGTTTTAAAATGCATTGGTAGCTGGTCTTGCTCTATTTGCTTACCAAAGATTTTCTGTCCAACAGATGATTATAGGACTTGGATGACTCTTGTTCAGCAATTCCCACTGCAAAGCATAGAAAACATGATATTAGGTGCAATTATCTCATTGGCATAGCTTGTGTGAAAAGCTTCCTTCTGTGCAGTGAAACCCAGATATGGACAGAGCCTACATACAGGTTATAGTCTCACCAGATTTGATTATAGCCAAAAGAGCAGAGTGATCATCTATTGTGATGCCAAAATAAGTGATTGTGGGACTGCTTAAGTCATTCTGGAAAGTGTCTCAGCTTGCTCCTGGATTTTTCAAATGAGATGATGAGCTGCCCTTAGCACACCGAGCTAAGTGGGAGCCCTTCCCTTTTGTAAACACTCACGTATCTCAACAGGCAAAGAGCCCAAATGCTGCTCCTCAGCCCCACTGCAGATTTGTCCTGCCTAGGAGGTCATTCTCTCCTTTCTGTATTGCTCTGGAGAGTTACTTTAACCTGGGCAGAGATGTGTGCTATGTCTACCCTGTCACAAGGAGAGATTTCCACCTTTCTGCCTGTGGCTGAGTGACATCTCTCTTTCTGCTGTCCTCAACTCTGAGGGCTACCCTTCACTTTCAAGTAATTGCTCATCTGATAACTTATCCATGGATAAATGCTCACTGACATTCCTGTTCACTGTGCCAAGGAAACAAATGAGTGAGGGATGCCAGACTTTTTCATGAGGCCAAATCCTCCTATTTGGCTTTGGGAATGTGGAGCTACTGCTGTGACCAATGGAATATAAATAATGACAGCAAATATGGAAATAGCCAGGATGCTGCTTATAGTGCTGTCTCCAGCATGACTTAGCAATCAGAACTGTCTCCTCCTTGTGGGGGCAATATTTGACTTTGATAAATATCCTAACGAGCTTCCGACTTCCCCCTCCGCCCCCCTCCAGTAATTCCATTAGGTACCTTACTGTATCCCTCACGTCAAAGTTAATGCAATTACCTCCTCTCATGTTGCATATTAGGCACTAACAGTATTCAGCAAGTGGATCATCAGTGCTTCAGCTAATGCTCATATTTTTTATTTTTATTTGGTTTTATTTTCTCTTACTTTGATTATTCCCTTCAGTCCGTCCCTCTTATTAGATACAGAAAATATTCTTGCAAACTTTTAGCAAAATATCTAAGCAAAAGAAAGTCCTCGTGGCTTCAGGTTTATAGTTGCTGCTCTCAGGGAAGTGGTGGCTGGATGCAGTGTGAATTCCACTTCCAGAAGTGCTCTGTCACAAGCTGGAGTGGACTGTCCTGCTTTGCTATTTGTGGAAGATTTCAGATGGTAGCAATAAACACACTAATGGCCTCATCTGTGTTCTTTTGTTTCTTTCTTTGTTTGTTTGTTTTTGTTCTTATTTAAACTTAGAAATTACGTTCTGCCTACTCATTTCCCTTTCTCCCCCTATGAGACCTGCTCCCCCCTTTTCTGCTCTTCTTTTTAGATTTCTTTTCTCTTTCCCTTTTCTCTTGAAAACCTCAAACAAGCTTTTCTCTTGTTTGCACCTATCTGTCATCTTTTCCCCTCATCTTCCCTAACAGCAGAGGCCAGCAGTCCCTCCTTTCTACCTCTCTGGCTCTCTGCCATCCTTTGCCCTGTAGCCAGTCCCAGCCACTCCTCCTCCTGTGCCTGCTCCAGTCCTGAAGCTCCAGTTCGTTCTTCAGCCATGTCTTGGCTCTGGTCCTGAGATCTTTTTGAGATCTTTTCCTATGGTCCCAGGCTCAGTTTCTTCCTTTCCAGTTTCCCAGGCCCTGCTCTTGTCTGGTTTGTGTTCTTAATGGGATAGCTTATGTGCAGTGTGATTGTAGATCAGTGATGTGAGGAACATGGACCTTCATGGACCTGCTTTAGAGATTTAGCACCTTTTAACATCCAAGTGTCCAATGTCTCTTGGAAAAACATGACACTTGGGACTTCTTTACAAGCATATGACTTGACTGCATCTGGGTGATTTTTCAAAGGAGAGCAAAAGATGTGTTTTTGATTAAAAGGCCATCTCATGTTAAACTGCACAGCCCTGCTCCAGCTTCAGTTTTCCAAACATAACACACCAGTGTTGGAGGAGCTGAATGGCCACTTTGTTTATATTTACTCATCTCCTTGGTTTTGTACTGGCAAGCTCTATTTTTCCTTCACGGTTTCTCACAAATATGCTGAACAAGCTTCAGTTGCCAAAAAATCAGGTCTGTGGCTGACATCTAGAGCCTTGAAAATCCATCCCAAATGATTATATTCTGGCTAATTTTAAGCAACTGAACAGGGATCTTACATAATAAGATGACTCAGGCAAACTCAGTAATTTACAATTTATCATCTCTAAAATATTGTCAGGAAGTGTTTATGTCTCTGAATAAAGCAAGTTTAAGAATAAATTGAGCAATGCCACGGTCATTACCTCATTAATTCCACTGGATATTTTAAGCGTGGAATTATCCTCCAGGTACATAACAAAGTGCCTGCTTTGCTTGCAGACTGGAAGAGTGCAATATCTAAAGATGTTCTACAGCCACATAGATAATAAATAATTAAAAAAAAAAGATAACAAGTAAATAAAAATAATAAATAAAATTATTAAAATAAATGAAAATAATAATAAAAAAGTAATAAAAATAGAAAAATAAAGAATAAAGAATAAAGAATAAAGAATAAAGAATAAAGAATAAAGAATAAAGAATAAAAAATAATATATAATAAGTAATTCTGGACTTACCGTGCTGGGCAGTGCCCTTGGTGGGGCAGGCTCCCCGCTGCCCACCCTGCAGGCAGTGCCCTCCCCGTGCCTCCTCCTCACCCCTGGCCTGGTACAGCACATGCAGGAGCTCGCCCTGGTGGGGCCGCCGTTCTGATATGGTCACCACCTACAGAGCAGAGACAAACTGTTGGAACCCAGAAGCCTGAGAGTTTTGAGCTTTCTGTGCTTTCTGCCACCGACCCCCAGGAGAACACTGCTTTTGCCTTGAGGCCTTGGAGAAGGCTTCCAAATTTGAGTGATAGAGTTAGAGTCACAGGTGTGTAATTTCACATGGTGAAAGGTTTTGAATTTGAGGTTTTTAGAATATAGGAATAGGTATGGGACAAGATGCATGTTTTTGGGTGTTGTCTCTTTCTGTCTTCTTCCTTCTTCTTCATGATTTCAGGTAGTAGTTTTTGGTTGGACAGTTAGTGCTGCACTGCAGGTTACAGAGGTTTAGTTAATGGGTCAAAAGTATAAATAATATAGGTGTCAGTTCTCTATTGGACTGTTTAACTTTAAAAGACCTTGCAACCAGCTAGAATCATGCTCCATTTTGTTCACTTTCAGCTGGTAGCTAAAAGTGTTGCAGAACTCTCTGTACTTTAGATAAGATTTAATAAAAAACCAAGTCTGAACACGAGAAATTAATCTCCATGTTTTTAATCCTGACTCTGAGTGAAGACAGAAACAAACGAAGACAAGCCACTAATTAGGTGGTGCAGTTAACCCCATTTACTGCAAACCACTCTGTTACACCTGGCCCTGGGGATTAGGTGGTCTGTCCAGGCAATGGGGGAGCTGAAAGGCTGCTTGTTCTTCCTACTGCTTTGCTGTCATCCAAAGGGGATTTTGTCAGGTGGGGACTGTGAGATTGGTAGGATGTTGTTTGGCTTCAGCTTCTATGCTGTGTACAGAAGTATGGGAAAATCCTGCTGGGTCTTTCTGGGACCCAGCTGCTTATTTGCACCTTTCTGTATTCTCCTTAGGAGACTGAAATGTGCTCCTTTCCAAGCTCTAGTGAATAGGATATGCCTCTGAGACAGCTCAGATTTATTTTCTTATTGCATCACATCTTGGGCAATCATTCAAACTTATGCAATGCAAATTACAAATGCTGTTTCTTTATGGTCTCTCCTGTCTTTTGAACTTATTTACATATTGCACCTGATGAATGATTACAGAGAATACGAGGCAGAGAGGAATTGTACTCCTGGAGATTAATTTTCACAAACATTAGCTCACACAGACAAAACTCACAGACAATTGCAACTTTGAGCATCAGCCCCCCCGATATCTCCAACAGTCCCTGAAAACAAGCATGAACAAAATCAAGTTCTTTTCCAATCAATTATGACTAAGCCATAGCACTCACTGTACTGCCACAGGCAGCTGGGGAGGTCAGAGCTAATGTGAGTTTGGAAAAACAGGGATACACCTCAAAGAAGTGGATTCATCAGGACTGGTATCCAAGATGGTCTGGAAAGAGTTTTCTCAAGAAGATCAAAGTTCCAACAGCAGGGACAGAGTGTTTCATACTTAGTTGTTTTTTTCTTATTCTTCCCTAAGGACTTGCTGCTGTCATACAGAGAACCACTGAAACAGGGTGAAAATCCAAACCAGCAAGGAAACAAGACATGTGGCAACTATTGAGACTATTTCCTATTAGACTTACTTATGCTGGAAGATCATGAGAAAAGCAGTTAGTTGCATCTGACTGATGACTGGTAGTTGCTGTCTAAGTGTTTTAGATATAAATATAGTTATTTTGTCTCAAGACTAAGACCAAGAACTGGCCAACATACTGTTGGCATAGAAAAAACCCTTAATTTTGTCTATTGCTCTACCTTCTAACACACGCTCAAAATAAAAACAAAACCCTATCCAAGCATGTCTCCCCAAGTTGTCCATTTTCTCTAATTAAGTTTTAATTCAGTTTGTCATTAATCCACAATATTCTGTGTATATGATTTTTTACACAGACATAACAACACATGCAAACCCATGTTTTCCAAAACAGGAAAGAAGAAAAATCCTAACCTAACCACTTTTAATTCTTTTGTCTCCATGTACCCTCAGGAGTTTGGACAAGGCTACATTACCTAAATCCTACTGACTGGTAGGATGAGGAGCAGAAACTGCCCAACAACAGGCAAAAATACTTCTGGAAAAGGCGGGTAAGGCAACCAAAGCCTAATCCAAGGCTGAACAGGGGTTTTTCCCTATTTCTGCAGATTTTAACACACAGCCTAACACGCTCCATGTGCTGTAAGCTACTTAAAGACATACTGAGTGTTCAGTTAAAGGGACTACTGTGCCCTTGAAGACAAGCACATGTTAAAGGAGGCTGCAGCTGGCTCCCAGCTCTACTGATCACAAATTTGGAGCTGCCAACAGAGCCGAGCCTCAGCGTTGCTCTGATGTTTCAGAACAAGGGTGATGCTGGCTGTGAGAGGCCTCCTGTTGCTGCTTGAGCTGTTGGCATTGGCTCTCTCCCTGCTGCCCCTGGAGCAGTTCCAACAGCTCCCCATCCCTCTGCAGCAGCTCCTTGCAGACTGCAGGCTCCTGTGTCCACACAGCCCTGACCACACAAAGCTTACAAGCTGCTCACCAGGGCATCACCCCCTTCAGCACGGTGACACCAGTGGAGACACCTGCCTTCAGGACTAATATGATGAGGCTGTGCTTGGCAGGGGTCTCTAACGACAGCCTTTGGAGTCTGCCTCACGTGAACCCAACTCTTCCAGCTTCCAAGGAATGCCACAAAGCTCAGCTTTTCCCAGCATCTCTAGAAAAATGTCCAGTGGTCTTGGCCACACTCAGTCTTTGCTGGTGTGTGAGAGAAAATGTCATCAACCCTCTGCTACTGAGACACCTTATTTTGCATTGTCATGGAAAGAGCATTTTTGGTAAGTAGGATGCCGGCTGCAGTCACCTCTAATCCTGAAAGTGGCTTATTTGATCAGTGTAAACCACCATGGACTTGAAACTTAACATTCTGCCTATGTGTTGCACAGGATGAAATACAGTTTGGGGAAAAGAAGATGATTTTATCTGGATTAATAGCAATAATTATGTAGGCACAATGTCTGTGTTTTTGAGATTCCTTGTTACATATGATATCAGTAATGCCAAAATACCTTCAAGCAGCAGAACCTGTATAAATAAGTTACAGTGCCATTTTCCATTACATCTGGAGATAGCAGTGCAACCTCTATAACATATTTTCAGTGAACATCTTTGCAGCATTTGGTTGTAGCACACTTTGGGAGTTCTTTATCTCCTAATTCAAGATTTCACAGTGACTTTGGCTACCTCACCCATTACTGTAATATGTAAAGACTTATCTAGGTCAGGAAACTAAACCTGCTGTAGCTCGGTTTTGATCTAAATTGGAGCTGACATTTCTCTAGGGTACCTAGGGTAAGGAAGAAGGATCAACTGGGAGTCGCTTTTCTTTTCTAGACATACTAGGGAATTTAAATCTGTACAAATGTCAGAGTCAGCCAAACTATGCAGAATTAGCAAACTGCTCTATAAAAACCGACTTTTTTTAGAACCTGTGAATCCTTTGAGCAGGCCAGTCTGTTTGCAGGACACCGACTCTGAAATCAGAGCTCAGCAATCTCTCTTTTTATGGTCTTTGCCATGCACATGAGAGCACCAAGGCCTGGCATACCCACTGCTGGAATTAGCTGTGTTAGGAGGGAAGGGGCACAGAGGACACAGGACAGTCACAGAGAGGCTGTTCCAACCATCCTGATCCTGGACTTAAAATCCCACTGCCAACCAACAACCATCCATAAAAGGTGACAATTAAATATCTGGCTTTGGATAAAACTTTGACAGTTAGAGTCTGAACGAACAACAATGTGCTTGTTAGTGGAGAAAATTCCAGATTCGTAGAGTAAGTTATTTTGATGGCCTATTGCTGAGTTAATTTTTAAGGTGGAAGCTCTAGCATGAACAGGGGTATTTTCTACTTTCTTGCAAAGTAGACAGGTACTGGTGTCCAGTCAGTTCTACCCAAGGGATTTTGAGGCTAGCAGAAGAAGAGAAGGGAAGGATCTACTATCACTGGAAATAACTCTTAATAGGGCAATAGGAACTGCAAATATACATATTGGTGAAACACTCAGCTAAAAAAAAAGGTGCTTCCTCCTTTCTGGGAGGAAATCTTGTATGTGATGAAAGTTACCCTCCACAGTCAGTAATTTGAATGTTAAATCACTTAATGCTACACTGCTTGAGTATTTCTGCTGTGAAAAAAAAAGGTCTGGCAGATGTCCACGTTGGTTGCTATTTTTGTCCTTGCTGAGGATTAAAGTTGTGCATCCACTGCAATCACCAGAGCAGAAGATTTTATGTTAGCTGAGGCATTTCTACAGCTCTGACTGCAGGTGCAGATGTAAAAGTGAAAAATAAACAATCATTCTGCGACTTTTCTGTGGGTCTAGAAATTGGCAATCACAGCTTCCTCACAGGCACGTCTATTCCAGTATGTGCCATTTACTTCAGTGCTTGCTTACAAGCTGTAAGCAGCTGCATCCCACTGAAGAAGGGGAATGTCTAAGAGTTGACTGTGCCAGTCCCTTTGGTTTGAGAGCCATCCTTGTTTTTGTAGCTGGAGCTGCAGATCATTCCTCAGGCTTGGTGTTCCCACTGCTAATATGATGCTGCCTGCATCATGACTAAGAGCCAATCAAAAGGCATCCTTAATTGGGGTCAGGAAAGCCCCAAAGGAAAAAAACCCAATCCTCTTAAAATACAGCAACAAAACAGGGACTTTCTTATCTTATTTTCTTAGGCCTTTATGAGTACAGTGCTGCTACAGCAGCTGATCCAATCCAAATTAAATATTAGATGCTTCCATTTAGTTGAAACAACTATCTACTGAGATTTGGAACAAGATAACAGGCATATAATTTCCCCTGTTTTTGATGTAAGTCAGCTGAAATTTTTCAGCTGAATAGTTCTATGAGAAGTACTGTCAAAAAGAAAAAAAAAAAAAGATAAATCACCTGAGCATTTTGTTTCATCAAGTCAGAATAGTTCAATTTTGGTTTGGACTTTTCTACTCTTTTTATATTGTATAAAAACAAAATATACAAAAGATTTAACAAATAAAAGTGGGGTATCTCAAAATGGCTTATTTTGAGTAACACTCCAGAAGTCTGATTCATCTTCCTTTGGAATGAAGAGTAATTTTGAAATCTCTGCCTGAGCTATGGGACAAAACCAACCAAACTAAGACTGACACACTTTGGGAAAATATACACATGCACAGTTTCTACCCAAAAAATGACAGACATGTGACTGACTCTTCCTGGGGACCACTTCAGGTGTCCTGTGACACATTGGGATCCTGTGATCTGCATTAATAACCAAAAGAGAGGGTGGGAATTAATGTGATGAGATTTTTTTTTTCCAGTGCACAAGTAAGCGTGGTAAGCAGGATGACCTACAGTTCTGTGGGGAGAGCAGGGAATCAGGAATACAAAGAAAAGGCCTTCTGAAAATGAAGATGGATCTGGAAAATAGGAAAGGACACGGAGAAAGGGAAGGCCATGGAGCAAAATACTTCAGCAAAGTGCTAGAGAAGAAACAGGTCTGTGGTGAGAAGAAATACTTTGGCAGAAGAGTCTCAAACTTGTAAGAAGTGCTTTGATATGCAGAAGAGACTGTCATTCCTGCAAATCAGCTAAAAGGACTGTGGAAGGGGTTGTGAATGGGTCAAGTGGATTTAAGGAGGAAAAACTGTCTCTGAAGACAAGAAACCTCACACCCATGTGTGAAAGCACCTGAACTTGCAAGACATTTACTCAGAGCATGACAAATGTTCAGTTATTTTTATTTATTGGGGGGTACCTCATCTGCAGGGAGTGGGTAAAGCTTCCTCTTGCCCTCTGTACTGAGGCTGAGGCGAGGGCAGGCAAGCACTGCTGGGACCAGGGGACAAACATCCACACTGGGTCTCTCAGTGCCAGCCTTAAGGGTCAAAGTTACAGTCCATTGCTTGGTGTTTTTCTCCCAAATTCCCTAGGATACTGGCTACTTGATTAACATGATTATTATTATTATTACTTGATTAACACTTATATGATTTGGTATGATTTGATGACTTTTCATTCCTGCATGTCTCTCTGGACTTACTGTGAAAGCTCTATGGATAATAATTAAGTCTGTGATTCCCTTAGATGGCCAGTGTTGACAAACCACTATGTTCATTTTGACTGGCTCTGCATGGCAAGACCATTTTTTTTTTGTTTCAAAGCACTTCTGTAAATAAACTGCAGCTTTACAAAAACTCCCTCTTCTGTTTCCCACCCCACTCCCTGCATCAGACACGGATGCACTTCTTTACCCTGGAAGATCTGCTTCCCATTTACACACAGCACTTTGAAGGGTATGAGTGGCCAACTGGTATGTTAAAAAAAAAAAATAGGGAGAGGGAAGTAGATTTTTCTTACACTCTTCGTTAGGATGTGCTGCGTAGCTTTGGCTCGTCTTCGGGCAGGACTACATGCTGCAAAAAAAAGAACAAGAACATGGTCAGGATGCTGTGGAGGTGGACATGTGCCTCCAAAAGTCCTCTGTAAGAATTCACTGGGGGTATGGTGGGAAGAGGGGGAAGAAGAAAGCTGAAACAATCCAAAAGAAAGTCCCTTTTTATGTGATGTCAGAGACCATGCTCTAGCTATACAGTACAGAAATCCATGGCCACAGCCTATCCTGAGTTTCTGCACCACTCCCATAGGCTTCCAGGAGGAACAGTCCTCCTTTCTCAGTTTTGATCTGGCCCCCACCTGCCAGCATTTCCAGTATTTCAGTAGTGTATACATTAACTTGGAGACCATTATGATTTTATCTAGTTAGGGACCTTATCAATAATCTCAAACTCTCTCATGACATTATTTCACTTTTACTGCATGATGTCCAAAGCACAACATTTGCACTAAGCCTTCTTTTTCAATCCTCAAAATGACCTATTCAGCTCCTTAGCTTGAGACATTTTGCTTAAAGTCTGTTTCTCACTTTTATTTTTTAGACCCACGAAGACACCAAAATCATAGAACCACTAGCCAATAGACACACAGGATGCCAGGGCCATAAGCCAAGCTTTTGTCTGGACTGAAGTGATTGCTTTTGGGTGATGGTTTCACTGGACTAAGTGAAGGCTCTTTAAACTTTTATTGAGTTAGACTTGAAACTGGCCTGAAAGACTGTGATACTCCCAGCACTCCCTCTCATCATATCTTACCCTGCCTTGTGTTCAGGCTACTGGAGCTACAGGATTTAGCCACCGGTGACAGAAACAGGCTTGCAGAAAGCTGCCAAATGTGGAGAATTAGCTCCAATTCTAAAGGCTGACCCTGGGGGCAAGGCACGTGAATGGGGGTTTCCTATTCAGGCTCTGTGTATAATCTAAAGGCTTTGAAGACCCAGGAAGGTTTGTTACAGGATGATGAGTGACTCCTAGTCCCCAGGTGAGCTTTCTTTTACGTTGTTGGCATACATTTAACTTGCAATGCTTATAGCTGCTGTGTATTGCTGTTTACAGTATATTTTTGGATTTATTTTTTTTAAGAGTTTTGGAGCTGTAGAGGCAGCTGAAGGTCATCCAAGGCTGCTCATTACTGCAGCCAAACTCCTCTCCTCAGATGGCAGGAATAATAAGTGACTGGGCTTTCCAGGGCTCTGAACAAGCAGAGCTGGCAGTGACACCAAAGTCACTCTTCCTAGACAGCCTGTGTGTGTCTAACAGCCATCCCTCCACACCCCAGTGAGGATATAAGCACTGAGCATTTGGAGCCCACTGGAGAGGAAATTCTGGCCTATGCTGTGGCTGCAGTGAAACAGGACAGGAAAATGGGAGGGTCCCTGTGAGCAGCCCATTGCAGCACAGGGCACTTCCACACTGAGCTCGTCACAACTAAGTTATCTTCCTGCCTAGAATGTGCTAAGCTGTCAGTATGATTACAGTCTGTTCTACACTGTGTGATATCCTCAGGGATCTTTACTGTCTTCTCCTGCAGGTCACATTTTATATTTTAAACCATGATGAGTGTAGGATGAAAGTCAGACAAACATTATGAAGGTGGTTTGTTTTTTTTTAATCTAGGAATATGCTGTAAGTTGTTTTCGAAGCTGTTTCTATCACTTTTATTTCTGGAATTTCACTGTGTGAAGACGAAACTAATTGCTCATAAGCAAAACATTCAAGTGCAGAAAAGTTTAGTGATGCAAGGAATTATCTTCTTGTCTCTCTGATATTTTAGGTATTTTACCACACAGTGTAAGGAGTGCAGTTTTTTAGAGATTTCTGCCAGAAGCAAGTGCTCTTGTGCTGTTATAGTTGCTACCTAGGCTAGTGAAAAAGGAATGTGCCTAAAAGTAAAAAATTCGCCTACTTTCAGAGTACATATGATCCACAGTCTCTCATCCCCTGTTGTCTGCCAGAACGTGTGGAAAAAGGCTCACAGGGACTGAAGAAAGGCAAGGCATGAAAGGGAAGTCACAGCACCAGCAAACATGCAATTACTTGAATAGGCATTGAAAGAAGGGTGACTCACAGAGGTAGCCAGAAGTGACCCACTTGCGTGGGAATACAATGCAAACAGTGCAATACAATGCAAACAGTGGGGCTGCGAGGCTGTCCCTGCAAACACGAATTTCTGCAGAGAGCTGGCAGAGGAAGAGAAGAACGAATTCTTACAGATGATGTATGTGGATTTGCCTGCAAAAGGATGTTTGTATGTACAGCCCAGATTTCGGGCAACAAATACAATTACAGTGATGGTTCACTTTGTCATTTCCACTTATATTCCAAAATTAAGCAGCTGAGAGCTCATGCTCGCAGCTTGCAAGTAAAGATCTGATCTGGCCCCACAATTTGTTTTCCCTGCTTTTCCCTGCTTTCTTGTTGCTGAAATATGCAGCCATTGAGTTTAAACTAATTTGTTCAATCAAATGCAGGCTGGGCTTTGTCCGGTTCTTACTCTTCATTAGAAGCAATTAATGTTAATCATGCATTCATTTCCAGGGCATGGCTTTGGAAATGTTCCACTTATTGAGCCAGCAGACTTAAATTCAACATTCATGCACTTCACCCACTTCTAACTGCTCGCAGAACTTCATTCTCTTTTCTATTACACAGAAAAGCCACACAGTTGCAAGCTGTCACTTTAGCAGTTACCTCATAGGTACAGCAACACCGATTCCAGATCTCCCAATTTTGCCAGAGCTGAGATTTTGCAGAGCCACAATATTGAAGCACCTGCACGGATTAGATCGAGAAAGCAGCAGCGAGTGCTGGGCTGCAGAGCAGATGAGCTGCTCTCTTCAAATATTTCCCCCCGCTACACATCCCATCCCTCTAAAAGACAACACTGTAGCAGTTGTTAGATTTTGATGTACTCACATTTGGAAGAAATCACAGTGGTGAAAACTTCTAAATTTTCATCGCTGCAGCTGTAAATCTGGTGCATTTTCCACCTCTCCCTACTGACTGCCTTTCAGCTTCATGCAACTGCTCTGAACTTCTGGTAAATAGGTTTCACTAATCCAATCTGGCTCTGTGATCATTGTCCAGATCTACAAAGGACAGACTGATGCTGTGATCTCATCTCATTCCATATTCTTCATTGCAACATTTTCTGCTCCCATCTGCCTTTCTATGAATAATATTAACACAAAGATTTAATTTAGCTCTTATTTAAGCCTCTACTCAGATAGGAGCATTTTATTTTACATTTCCTTTTAACAGTGTGGAGAATCCTCTGCAATAAATAGCTAAAAATTAAAGTCTAATCTATTGGCAAATGTTTACAGAAGTACTGCAAAGATTTTTAAATAAGTTGGGTTAAGTGTGTACTTTAACACATTTACCATAAAAATTTGCAACTTACATATAATGAGGACTTGATTCTAGGTGTATTAAGAAAAGCATTTCGTGCTTCATCTTTTCATTCTATTAACAAATACTGGAATCCTGGGTTTTTCAAAGTAAAATTTCAGAAGAATATGTCTAAGAAAGGCAAATGTGCATAGATCTCCATGCCCTCTACACGTCTGTGGTTGCAAGGGGAGGAAAGGTGGCTCAGTCATAGATGGGTTCCTGACCTGATGGCTCTGGGGCCTAATCCCATATTTATAAAGGGTCTTCTTACCAAAGCTTTTAATTTCTTAATACTCCCATCAGAATTTGCTCCTTTCCACCTCTATGAATATCAGCCCACTCAACTTCTGGCGACTTAATGCTGCCATGGACACCCAAGACAGAAGATTTTGGCTTGCAGTCTCCAACAACTGATGTAGTTGGAGCACTTTCAAGTGTGAATAATGATATTAAATTATATCAGTCTAATGAATAGCCTTCATTACTACCACGTGTTTTTCTAATTAACACAAGTGTTGTCTTCTCCTATAGATGTCTGCCACCAACAGTCCCAGATGGAAAGTGCCAGTGAACAGGGGCCGTCACTGTAATATTGATGAACGTTTTTTATTTCAAATAATAAATATTGGTCAATCAAACATCCTGAGCCTGGAAGCATTTTGGTTGAGTGGAAGGTGTCGCTGTTTCAGGAAAGCAGTGAGCGTAGAGAAGCTGTTGTCACTTGTCACCTCCCAGGGCAGGCTCCTGCTGTCCAGGGGCAGCACAGCCTTTGCGGGGCTGGGGGCATTGTCCCAGGAAACCGTGCTGTGCTGGAAGCAGGCAGTGGGACGGCAATATAATCACCCAAAAGTTCAATTAGTTTTTGATTTATTGCGCCACATGTTCTGCTTGTATGACTGATGTCATTAACATCAGGCTCGGCTGGCGCATTCATCTGTCCCTGCCCGGCTGCCTCTGAAGGCGCACGCACTCAACAGATGGGGACTGCACGGGTGCGAAGGCAATTGTTTACCCCCCTATTGTCCCTGTGTCAAGCAATCAACCCAAATCCATTACCCACCGAGAAAAAGATCAGCGCACCGTCCATTCAGCGCTGAATGGGGCAGAGGCGGTTATGCAGGAGGCTCTAAAAGCTTTCAAAAGGATAAAAAAAAATAATGAAGACCAACACTGAATAGTCGATTAAAAAAAAAAAAAAGCTATAACAAATGTAACCCACCCTTTATTTCACCTTCAGATATTCAGAGTCCTATGAGAAGAGGGGCACTTTTGGACCTAAGTCATTGTTTTCCTAATTCTAGGTGTGACCTACAGATATTTTCAAATCATAGATGGGGTTTAACATTAGAACAAGTATTGGGCTCTTCATCTTTTGAGGGTTGGTGGGATGTGGAAACTGAAGTGAGACTCTAGAGCTGGTCTCCAGCTGACATTCACTGTATTACAAGGCAGGTAGGCTTTGGACACATCTTTACAAGGAATGGGATGCTCTGGGGACAAATCACCATAACAGAAAGCTGATGAAAGACACTCACATCACTTTCAGATAGAAAAATAGGGCTCAGGAGGACAGGTAGAATATGTGTCTTTTGGGATCCTCATCTGGGAATGAATTCTCCCCTGTCCATGAAAAGGAGTTGGCTTCTTAATTTTGTCCAGATCTTGCAGAGTAGTTGAGCACTATGAATGCTCAGTTTTGCATGAAATCTTGATGTGGCTTCAAGAGAAAACTTCACATATTGGATTACTTTTTTCTACCTGTGTGGGAAGTATTTTGGGCAAATGTCCAATGTTTGGTTTCGCTATGAAATTGGTGTAATTATATCTGCAGGAAGTGTACTGCAAAAGCTCTACTGCATGCTACCTGATAAAGAAGTGTAGACAATAATTTTAGACATAGAGGAGAAACTCTCCACAATGCCCAACCTAGGAGCTGCAGAGCTACATCAAACAATCTTACATGGTATCTACTTCCAACTCCCTACTCACCTGCAAGAGTCTAGTCTGTGGTGGGAGAAGAAAACCAAACAGTTTTTGACTCTATGAATCTTTTTTTGTTTCCCAAACTGCATAAAATGTCTAGAAACTGGGCTCAAATTTTTTCTTCTCTACTAAAGTGAGGAATAAACTACTAACTTAATTCACATGGTGCCACTGCAGCCATGAGAAGACCCTAAGGAATATTTGCCCTGGGTTGTATCTTTGACCCAAGATTCCCAAGTGAATATGCTGAATCCAAATTTCTCCCTGTGGGCTGTGATATCACAGTTTTTACCAAATATCCACTCTTGGTGCTGATAGTAAAGGATCAAAACATTTCTTGGTGCCAGAACAAGGTTACCAAAGGTGATCAGGGACAATTGGGAAAGAGGAGGAGGAGGAGGAGGGGAACTTCACACACGAGAACAGACACATGCAGACACAAACACACATCTAACCTATCTGCAGGTCTGGGACGGGGAAAGTATTTGATTCTTGGGAATGTGGGTAGAAAGGAGGGAAAGGAAGAGAAGAAGAAATGTTTGTTGAAGCTGAAAGGGAAAAAAAAAACGGACTTGAAAACAGCAGAAGTCCCAGCAAACCTTGTGAAAATGGCAGAAAAATCCCATAAACTGGTGAAATGTCCCTCTGGGGAGTTGGCATGGGTGCTTTTTCCAAAGCCTGTATCTGTTAGGACATATTTTGAAGAAACAAATGTAGCTGCTTGTCCTGTTTACCAAATATGCCAGAGCTGGTAAATTTGAAAGGAATCAAATTTTAAAAATATGGTTACAAAAACCGTAATTAAAACTTCGAGTTATTTAAGATAAGAATCAGAAACCTCTAGACATTATTTATCCTGGTGTCTGTGAACAAATACACTTTTCAGTGCAGTATTCTTCCAGTGAAGTTGTTGGGAAGCAACCTGATACTCTCAACATGTGCAAGGGGTATTGCCAAGGGATTCCCTGGCCCAGGGAGGACAAAGCTCTTCCCAAGGCACGTCTCTGGCTTCTCCCTGGATCTTGTACCTCTTGCATAAGAGGAAAATCTAATCTGTACTGAGCCACTTGAGCCTATTTCTTACTGTTAGCTGGGCAATATGATAAGGATAAACCCCAGGTATTTTTGGACTAGGATTGTGAACCAGAGGGATGTGCAGATACCCATTTAAAAATAAGATGGGATAAAACTGCACATGCATACTGCAGGCATCTACCCTAAACCAGTTCTGCATGATGCAATGCCAGCAGGTTTTTTTTAATTTTAATTTTAATTTTTTTTTTTTTTATTTTTTTTTTTATTTTTTTTTTTTGGAAGGAAAATCACTTTGTTTCGGTTGAGGGCCACAGAATTAGAACTGCAAATAACTGAAAAGGAAAACCAACCGTAAGCAAACCATAAAGTGAGTTTCTCATACATAATCTGTTATTTTTCTCTGAATGAAAGGAATAGAGAGACAGATATATTATCAGTAACTTCACCTTACACTCATAGCAGACAGCAAAACTAGTTCAAAATCAAAATAGCACTGCACAGCTTAAATAATGTGAATAAGTGAATAAGTGAATAATTTTCAAAAGTAACGTGAATTTTCATCTGTCTAGAAGCTGCTGTGACAGATTTTTCCTGAATGGGAATAAGATTGAGGCATTCAAAAAACATTTGGAACTTTAAGTTCTCTACAGGGAACCCAGAGAGAGAGATGCAAGAGCTGTGCAGTTTGAAAAGATGAGTGCACAGGCTTCTCTGCTAATCAGGAAAGGAAATACCAGCTAGACCTGGAAGCCAGGCTGGAAGCATCCCCCCACTAGTTACAGAAAGATATTGCAGAATTCTGAAAATAGAAGAAAAAGAAAAAAAAAAAGAGAAAAAATAACCCTGGTTGGCTTCTCGTATAAAAGTTACATATTGATAATTGGGCATTCACAAATTTGCCCTAAGCTTGTAAAACACACTTGATTAAGTCCATATGATGATTAGGTAGAAACACAATGCCCAGCACCACAAGGTTCCAGTCCCACAGAGCTTGTGCCAGCAGCAGGGATTGCACTAAGCCAGTATTAAAGCTAGGGCCAGGTTGAGCACGTGGAGGCTTACAAGCTTTCATATACTGGTCATGTACTGGTAATCCATAGAAAGCATTAAAAATGTCAACAAAGGAGTGATATGTCCAAAGCAGGCTGTGACAACAATAGTTCATTAAGATGCTAATCTTTAACTACATTTGTCTTGGATTTATTAATTTTTCAAGCTAATTGATCAGTGAGGTCTTTATTCCCCTGAAAAACCACAATGATTTTTAGATAGAGTTTTTTCACTCCCAATTTTTTCCTTTAAAACATTTTGAGATTATTTCAACTATTGGCTCCTGCTATAAACATAACCATTTTTGGGCAAAAAAGCACATTAATCCAAGCTTGTCCTGTGGTTCCTGGATTTAGGCAGTGGTAGCCCTCTTGCTGCAACTGCATCCTGTGTCTTGCACCTTATGCAGTAAAATCTACTCTTGGATAACCAGGCACAAAATGCTAAGGATTTCTCCAATGGACAAGTCTAAAGAGTCAGGCAACCTGAACTGTCACCTTACATCTCTCGTGTATCCTCACACAGCCATCAAGCTCCTTTTACCACATGCAATACATGTGCTCCAATGGGGATGAAAGGTCTTTGGAGGGTATCAGATGGCATTGCCTACTCTGGCTTAAGCTCTGTGTGAAAATGAGATTAAATTTAAAACAAGAGCCATCATTATTTGGACTCAGAAACCGTGGGACTAGTAACTTAGAAAGTAGGAAGTTGAAGCTGCACTAAAGGCACAAAGGCAGGATCAAATGTATGAGTCCCCTTTTTGATCCAGACTCAAGTTCTGCAGCCTACATGAAGGAGCAAGGTAGCACAGGAGTTGGCACTGTGACAGAAGAGGCTTCAGAATTGCTGCGTCTTTGAAACGTGATTATTTTGAGGTAGCTTTTGTTCAACCAGTACGTCAAATGACTACAGAGCATACAGGTAAGAGCCTGTATGGGGAGGGGGGAAACTCTGATGCCAATTATCCTGAAACAGTTTTTGCTGAGATGAGGTGATTGATCTTCCTGCTGGTTTGGTTTTTGTGCTCTCTACTGACGTTGCCAGTACGGGTGTCAAAGATCTTCTGCTGTAAGCACTTGACTTGTTTGTAGGAATCTGATTAAAGTAGATCACCTCAAGATAACAAGAGGAATTAATGCTGCAAATACATAGGAGAGGATTTTCAAGCTTATAAGCTACATAGAGGTCAGTACTTTTAAATAAGTCACGCAGCAGCCTCTGAGATCTCTGATTTTCGCAGAACTCATAATCTTTACTTGTCCTTTTCCTTTATCCTGTTAGCCTTTACACTTAAGTATTTGTCTTTATTACTTCAGTTCTACCTGTAATCTGATCAGTTGTTCTGTCTAGGGAAAGTACTGTACAGAGCTAACCCTGGGAAAAAAAGAAACCAAAAGGGAACAGGAGAGAGTTTTTGTGGGCCTTGCTATGGACATGGTACCTAATAACTACATAAGTCTAGATTCCTCATCATTCAAGTTTTTATAATATTTTTAAAATGCATATTCTCATCTTAGATGAGAAATCTGTTCCCCTCAACTCCTACATCCTAGCATTCCAACTTTTTCTCTCTGTAACGTGTAACCATTTTATATACTAAGGCTCAACATCTCAGCTGTGAACAACTGTACTCATATGTCTGCCAGTTTTTCCCAAAGCCTGGCTTGCTGTGTGCATGCAGATGTCCCTGGTGAGGGACAGGCTCACACCTTTAGTGCCTGTCAGCCAACCCTGTGCTGCCTTTGTTGGGCACCTTAGTGTTTTCAGCTCAGCTCTGTTGGGCAGGCCCCTGAATTGGGCTTTATGGTTGGTGACATTATAACTTCTGACATGAGAAGTCACAAAGAGTTACTTTACAATCAAAACCTGCCTGCCAGCCTCTCTGCTCAGTTTTACCAACTGAGGAATCCTAACTTTAGATCTTCCATTTAAAATACAAGTACAGCAGGTATGAAGTAAACCAGCTTGACCACACCAAGGACTAAACCTGGAAGATGGCTGCATGAAAACTGTGGGATGTGACATCCCAGGATGCAAGTGGTGACACTGTGAGTGTGCCTGAATGAGACCTGTGTGCTCCAGAGGCAGGAGCAGAGGCTGCAGCCCTCCAGGAGGGAACACTGAGGTGCCACCACTCAGAGAACAGCACCAACACGGCTTCAACCCTTCCTGGAGAGAGGCTGATCCACTGAAACACAGAGACTCTGAGATTGCAGTAGTGCAAGGCAAATGTAATGGAGGCTGTTCATGTTAATTCCCATTTTTCACTGCTTGGAGAAGCACATGGTGACAGCTTTCATGAGGCAGGGACCTGTCCATTGGAAAATGGATTATGACCACCAACTCCTGCACATAAACTGCAGAGCAATCATCCAGTGGTCACTAGTGAGACACCATGGGTCTGTGCTGGTGACCTAGGGGTGAAATGACTTTCTTTGTCTGTCTGAATCCCTGAAGCATTCAGACTCTGATCAGGGGGGATGTTCTAATCTAAACCACCATTAATCTTCCTTAAGGTGAAAAGGTCAGAAGAATAAGTTATTCAATGTTAACTGTTGTTTTTTAATTTTTTATGCCAGCAAAAAAAGTTTTTTATTCCCAATGCTGTCTCAAAACATAACAGCAACACTTAAACATGCAAACTTTCAGTCATTTTTTGAAAGTGATGCCAGCTTTTAGATAAATGACAAAGACCATACACTGTGTCAGACCCCCACAGCTGTGTCCATAGCCATAACAACAATGCCACACAATATTGTCCTTAAATCCCATAAAGGCAAGAAACAATGCCAGAGAATGAAGCGATAACGTATTGGAGCTGCTGACAATCAGTCTTTAACATGTGTTATCCATTTCACTGCAGGTGTAAATCAGCATTTCAATGTCAACTTGCTAATTTAAGGCTGTATGGTCAAACACCCAGAAAAAGCACAAATGCACTGTTAAAGTAGGTCAAAGTCACTGCAAGTCAGGGAACACAGAGGAAAAGTTTCCCATCAATAAACCATTTTGGGTTGTGAGATATATATTTCATGATAAAGTACTACTAGATTAAATTAAGCATTTAATGGGATCTCAGACTACAGTGTCAGCACAACCAATACTCCTTTGCTGCTCAGTTGACTTTGGTGGTATCTGTGCTGCCAGTGTTTGTGGCCAAGGAACCAAGCTGTGTGGCTCTACAGGGTGACACAAATTAACACGTGAATTATTTCCAAAGGATACAAATCACATTTCCTCTGCCTTCACTTAACTATGCCACCACATGGATGTAAATTGATTTTCCCCTTTAATTCCCATGTTCAGAGAAATAAGGAAAATATCTGCTACCATTGGCTGTACTTAGAGTTCTCTTAAAATGGGTACATGTAATTTTTCAATAGAAACCAAAGACTGAAAGTCCTCTCCTATTACTTGGAATGCAGTTAACTT